AACAATGCTAATTATATAGGTGCACACACCCATTTAATATCCACTTTCACACTATAGCAGTTCGATGCATTATATATAATTGCCAAGCAACACGCAAGGATGGCGTCTCCTTGCACGATTTGGGATCCAGTTCTTATGGGCCGCACAATACTACTGTTAGCGAAGCGCGTATGTGTTAGGCACTTCGACGTGACTGACCTGATAATTGATAGTAATAATCATCTATGAATTAAACGAGGGCGAATGCCGTCGCTACACTTGCCACGAAGACGCCGTAGCAAATACAGAAGACTATCTTAAACCTGACAGACAAAGTGAACATACATTTATTCCTTACAACATATACTTGATAATATATGCACTGTCTTATATACACAACACTATATACTCAAAATTTGGGCTTCTTTCCCGATGCTGGACCATCCGTCATTGCAGCAACTCTATTACTTACCGCTGCCGGCTCAGTCATTGTTTGCCGGTCAGCTATCCTCTCGTTGCTCGACTTCGGAATATTTCCACGAGTACTATAGCCGACCGATATGGGTTTCCATTACCAGTTCAATGTACCCAGAACACTTGTGCTGATCGACGTATTTTTATCGTCGCTATCTGCCCACGTGGTAAACGTTCTGCTGTACCGTCAGTGTACTATCATCCTTTGGGGTTCGACGCCTTTACTTCTTGCACAGGAGGTGCGTGCCGGTAGTGGCGTTTGATATGTTAGATTGAATTTGCCAACTAATCTGTCTTTATCTGCCCAACTACCACTGGAAACGACACTGTCAGTTTGCAATGTCGGAGTTATACTACTAGGGAAATAGAGTATTCGCGAAAAGATCAAGTCTGTGCCATACGTGCTCGCTATTAGTTGCCACCCGTCAGTTGATACGCCTGCAATTTTCTTCTTTTCAATGTACTGGGACGCAATGTCGCTCAACGATCTATATCCTATGTGTGTTGTAAACATCACACGGCTTCCTATCTTGCCAATTTTAATTGCAGTTGTTAAATCTGTACCTTCATGGGCACGCCCTTTACCCCGAGTAGCCATTGTTGCCAATGTTATAATATCGTCTTCGCCAGGCCCTGATGCTTTGGTCTTTTTCTGTTTCATGGGCTGTTTGATGGGTTCGTTCTCTATATCCTGCTGATCTTTGTCTCTAGAATACAGTTTTGGTGCAGCCATTAGCTGTCTCTTACTTGCACTAAAGATAGCTAAATTGTCACCACAAGCTTCACCTAGTGCCACTCTAGTCATTGTTAGTTGTATAGTATTGGTACTAGGTACTGCAACAGGTAAAACTGATGCATCAGGTAATACTGATACATCATATGATACATCAGATGGTACCGATACCGAAACTGCATCATACACAACAGAAATCTGAGAAATGTTAATATGGATGATGCTTCCACGGCTTCAGGCAACCTCAATATCGGGACAGAACCAGTTCTTGGTCTCTTTTTATTTTGATAATCGGCCATCTGATTTTTTTTTTGAAATGCATACTACACACTTTCCCACGGCGTCAATAGATCGTGCATACGGCGTGCCCAAGAATTTTTACCTCAAATATGGGTTTTCGAGTGTTTTATTATTATTTTGTACTCAAATTATGCCCAACGCCTGCCCAACGCCTACCCCAAAAAAAAAATTGATGATTTCAAAATTTATCTAACATGTACCCAAGTCGTGCCCCAAGTGGCGGACCTCATGTAGCTGCCGTTCTAAGCATTGTACCGCCTACCTCATGGTACCTACGTGCTTGTATTTTCTCCTCATTTGATTAATCCTCTCAAACATACCTATCAATCATTAGCCGTCCATAGCTTACATTTACGATGGTGTAATACGTGAAAAACATTTGTTGGTTTTGGGTGTTAAAATAAAATAACATACATAATTATGTAGTACATCTGTATATATGTATGTACTAAAATACCTATAAATCCAGTACTATGGATTTAGAGTTCAGTGTTTTATGTACAATAAATTTCCACTCGTGGAGATTAAGTTTGAGATCTACATTCTGCTGCGTAGTTGTACTGAATACATTTTTTTGAGTGCTTCGATCTCATTCTCTAAACAAGTGATCGTGGTCTGTGAGACACTGTAAGTTGGTGTGTACTAGTATTTGATGGGATGGTAGCCTTCATAGTCTTCTTGATGTGTCGAGGTAAAGGATGTGCGCAGTCTTCAAAATCCTCCTTGATAAGCATCTTATTCAATAAGTATTGTTCCGCATCGTGCATCTCTTTCACTTTGATTCTAGCTAGGTGACTATTTCATTCTTCCATCGTCATTGGCACTGCATCATCGGTCAGTTGGTTCTATTTCTGGCTTCATTGCAGGATATACTTCGAATGAAAGTGCTTTTCACACATCTCTGTCCAACTGCTTGCCTGCAAACTCTTCACTCCTTTCGCTGTTTGTTAGCCGTCCTAATCTGTCTTCCACTTTTATAATTTCTCTGGATCATTGCTCGGAACTGGTTTCTGTTTATTGTTTGCAGATCTTTTGTCTGAACAGTAAGTCGCCACACACACCGCCATATTGAATTTTTACGCTATGTACTAAGTACCTATACGTTGAGCTATGGCTATGTTTATAAGCTTCCCACACGTCAAATACGGCGGTGTGCACACGTGCGTGCAATACTGCAATTTGATCACAAAATCGACTAAAGCCGATTTTTTTCTACAATGTACTAATTTCAAGAAAGTTTTATTTGTCTACTACTTTTACGACTGGTGAGTAATGATTGGTTGTAGAAACAGCCAAAGACCATAGCCTTCTAAAAAATAGACAAGCCAAACATCCTCTCCCAAATTTGGGCGGCATAGCATTTTTTGGTGCCTAGCATAATTTTCTTCGCCAAGGAATAAACTTTGGCGCCAAATATTGATACCAGATTTCTAGTACAAATTTTAAAACACAGAATCATATAACACACATCCACCTTACAATACGGCTATATAGGGGGTCTTCGCAGTTATGGTGTCTTGCGCTGTTGCCATATGTGGCAATAGAAATGGTAGTCTATTCATTGGCGAGAAGTTGTCTTTCCTTCGTTTTCCTGCGGCGAAAGACTACCCTAAGTACAGGTCGAACAAGCAAGGACGGCTTGCAAAACGGAGAACAGATGAACCACTTGGATCGAAGCATGCTTCCGATTATTCAGTGCCGAGGATGGACTGACTGCAGGTGTCCACCAACTTTTGGAAAAGAAACGATCATAGAGTCTGCAGCGTTTATTTCCACCCCTCAGTACTTGTGGTAAAAGAGAAGGGTACGCATTCAGCCGTGATCGGCGCCACCCCTACCATGTATCTTAAGAAGTTGGCGGCCGATGCTGAGCCAATTGTGGAACTGTCAAGTAGACAGAGACTTCTGATGATACCTTACAGTGAGATCTTTGAATTGGATAGTTCACTAGGCAATCCATTGTCTGGAAAACGACTGCTTGAAACTAATCCAACAGCAGATCGTGCACGCAACGTGAACGCTTAACTAACGAGACTATTCACATATCACGACAGCGAGAGGACGAAGAAGATCACATTAGCTCGTTCAAAGAAGTGATAGGCAAGCTGAGTTGGGATTGCATAAATAATGGACATGGGAGTTAAATGCTGATACGATCATAATGTCACGGTCGATTAAATCGGAGATTGCCTCAGTTCCATTTTTACAACGTGTGCATCTAATACTTGGAAGTTCGGATGGATACATAGATATAGTCGTTTATACTCCTTCACACACAGCCGTCAAAAATACTTGCTATAGTAACGATGAATCTTATGTTTATTCTGTTACCCATCTTGAGAAACAACTCGGCATAGCACATAAGTACAGTACATTGCTCAAGCGGATCCGTTTTATTGAGGACACGACAGATGCACTGATACCAAGCAGTAAGCCGACTCAAACGGCAAAATCAGAATGTAATATTCCACGTGAGCGTGGGGATTATCTGCTACGTGGTGACGTCGGTCGAGAAAGAGCCGTATTTTACTACCACTTAGCCGAACAAATCGAGATGCTGGAAGTCAACCGGCACAAAGGAGATTCCCAGAAAATTCCTTTGTGTTAGCATATGCGCAACAAATGTATTCCCGTGTCCCTGGACATTACCATAGGATGAGAGAGAATATGCTTTATACCTTTCTACCGGATAAAAGGACCCTATTTTCTCGCACTAATAGTGATGCTTTACCGGCGGACTGCATATTCGCGGGTACAGGATCCGCACATGCTGCTATATTGGGATCAATAGTTAGCGCTAAAACATCTACATCAACGATACACTACAAAGAAACGGAAATCAAGCGTAAGTTGTTCTCACGTACGTTTGTGTACGCACTTCACCTTGATGAAATCAACATTCGTCCAACGAATAATTTCAGCAATATAACCGGATTCTTTGGCCCGGCGCACAACAACCCCGATGCGCTTGCAAATCACATGCAAGTATTTCTGATGACACCTTTAAGTGGGCCAAAAACATCGCTTGCTCTTATGGCGCGACCTGTAGCTAAACAGACTAGGCTTGATTTATTTTTATACACAATGGAGGCCATATCTAAGAGTCAGGAAGCAGGAGTCACGTTGTGCCCTGTAATTTTTTTTATGGCTGTAGCGTTAATCGGAAGGCCATGTGACTATTGGTGTTACATAATACTGATCCCGAACCACCAGGACGTCGACTTGAGTTGCCTCAGCAGCGTCTCCCGACATCTGTAAATGTAAATGGTGTAAAATTATTTCCGTTGTTTTATCTCATACACATCGTAAAGTGTATAAGAAACAATCTTGTGCGGAAAGGGCACAGATTTAGGTATCCTGAGATGAAGCGGAGTACGGGATATACTCTACCGGAAGGCACGTGTGACATAGTTTGGGTCCGTAGATTGTATAATAAGTACAAAAACAAACTATTCTCCCCTGTGCGCATCAATCGTGTTACAGTATGGCCTAGTAATCTGGAAAGGCAACAAGTGCGGCCAGCCTTGTTGATTTTCTCGACGGAGATTACAAATGCCCTAAAACGTGAATTCGGTGGTATGGCCTCTGGTACATATTTGTTCCTTGAAATGGTACAAAATTTTATTATTACACCGTTTATAGCAGTCAGTAGTACGAAAGGAAAACATAAACGGTTGCCTCGGGCGGATCTATTCAGACACCCAGCAGATCATCGTCTGAGAGAAGCTGAAAAATTAGCAGCGTGGCTGCAAGATGCTTGGTATGCCGGTCTGGCCAATGCTGATCCAAGCATTATTGTAATATCTGACGAAGAAGACGACGCCGATGAGGAGGAGGAGATTGAGGTAAGTAATAGAAAGTATTCGTATGTATTTTATTTTTCTTTTCTAAAGGTAGGATTTTATGAGTCTCTCGGATTCGCCCCAACGAAACATACCATAGTTTCTAATAGAGCGACAACGAAACACTAAATAAAATCCTTTCGGCGAAAACAGTACTGAGAGGATTATATATAGGCAATGTCTCAGCCTCACAATCCCTCAGAGTATTGCTGTTTTCACGAAGCAAACCTAACTTTACTAAAAGACTCATTTCGTTATTTACTTTTATATTTTACTATACTTAGACTTAACCTAAGCGTTTATTTACTCTAAGGCGTTAATATCCCTTTGATAGACCAAAACATACACAGTAGATAGTAGAGCTAGTCACAATACGCCGCATGCAAGTGATAACAGTGGGAGTGCCAATTCAAACACCACTAGTGCAAATACTGAGAGCAGCACACCAATTACAAGTTCATCACGTGTAGAAAAAAGAGGCCGCAAGCCTCTGGAAGATGGCCTCGTGCGATACATGCTCCTCTCCTTAGATTTTAAGTGTGTTTTACCGGGCCGTATTAATAACGACCCGATAGAAGTGAGCTTCTCGATAGCGCGTGCCATGGCTGGTGGAAATCACACCTAGACATTTGTGCATATGTATATGCACAAAGAACTCTTAGCATCTGCGCAATATATGAGATTTGTGCAAACGCAGACGGTTATCACAATAGAGATATGTACAATCATTTATTCGAGGGCTTAACGAAACGACAGATGAACTAGAAGGTCACAAATTCAAAACTTTGAATTACCTTTGGAAATGGCTTCTTAATTGCGGTCCCAAAGTAGCCCAAGCATCTCTTCACGATTCCACCTTCCCATATGTAGCGGAGTATGTTGCACATAAGTGGATGAAGAATTCAAGAGTGAATTGCGACGTATGCATGGATACGGTGACGAAGGGGAAGGGATTAGATAAAGAGAAACATATGTTTATAAAGTACTCAAATAGTCTAATCGCTGAGTTAGATAGGAAAGGTCTTTCTTGGCCAACATCTCTGTAGGTGATGAGCGGACTAGTGTTAAATGTAGTAGATGTGATAATTTCGGATGAGAAAATGTTAAGGCAATTTAATGATTCTACGAGTGCTAGTCGTGTAGGATTACGCGTGATCAATAATGTTATGTCTAAGCGTATTCAATCATGCCGTATGTTACAACCATTGAAGGGTCAGTGTGGGCACTGTGGTTCACTTAGGTTGGACACTATCGTTGCTCCAGCACTAAACACACTGTATAATATAGCATGAAATATTATGTCGTTGCTATTGAATCGTAAGTGTGTAGCCACAATGGTTACCCTAAGCATGGTTAAATCTAATAAGAAGAAAGATCGGCCAACATCGGTGCGAGGAACCGAGGATGCAACACTCACTCACGATAATACAAAAAAGTGGACCACGGAGAAGTGTAAAGTGATATCGAGGAGTGTCGATGCACCTTTAGGTGGTGATATAGAGGCCTTACGTCAGCGCTGCATACTACTACAAAAGTTGCAAGCAGTGCAACTAGGTTCAGTGCTGGGTTTAAAGATCGACGATGCACGAAAATTGTGTGATCAATTAGATCTTACCTTGGGTACAAAGGTCGATATGGTAGAGCGCATCGCACGGACTCCCAATTCTCGTCAAGAGCACGATGCGCTGTTATCAGCACTTAGAGAAGGGTAGCGATAGTCCTAAACATACACCATTGTGTAAAAGTCGGTCTCCTCTAGGCTGACTATACGATATCAAGACGTTTACGTTAATAATACAATACGTTAAACGTTTAAATGCAAAATGTTAAAAATAAGTTTAGCTTCAACCCTTGATAGTGAGCAAAAGATTAGGGGATTTTAGACTAAGACTATTGTCTATATGCTCCGCTCTAATCACTCACTACTTCGGTCTAGATTTATTTATGTTTTAGTTAATAAGACTAGATATCTTTTCATTGGACGCATATTTTACATTTCACGCCTCGAAACAACTATCTACTCAAATTAACCAATAAAATATCTCTAAGTCCAACTTAAGAAAATAAAAAAATAAAATCAAAACACCAAGCTGATGCAGTATACATCTGCACCTAAACCCCATCACTTAGTACCTAGCTCCCCATCCCATTTAAGGCATAGACGGGCACATCTAGTTGGCTGGCTAGGAGGAATCAAAACCAGGTTGCCCTAAATTGTAACAACCCTGATCCTGTCCTTTTCTTAGTGGATTATCTTTCTCTGAGATCATTATCGAATTATAACATAGGTTTGTACCAACAACCATTTCATGCCTGAGACCCTCTCTCATGGTACTCCCGTTAATTAGAGATTCCCAAAGTGTCATTTTCAGGTGTCAGATTTGTATCATTCCTATATTTTGTACAATTCTAATTTCAGTGGAAAAACCAATCTATATTTGGAAAACCACCTAATTGTCCACAGTAGAGTCCCATACTCTACTGAGTACTATCACATGTTCAGAATCTTGAATATATCAATTCTTGTTTAAACGTATTCCAGTATTATCAGTATAAACGTTAATATGATAATACGTTTATAAAATGCGTTAACTGTGCAACTACTATTAGGAACCCGCTATTTTTTACATTGCCCCCCCCCCCCCGATTTTTCAATGTTGGTTTATATGTGGTATTAGCACATCGACTCAAAAAGCTCACATGAATTGTACAAACGAAAAGAAAAGAAACGGGTTTCAATCATATAATGGCCTCAATGCTTATGTTATATTCTCTTAGACAAAGTATACTTAGACGTTATAAGTTACTCGGTTACTCTATTACGTCTGGGCTTTGGTCCTTGTGGTCCCCGATGGTGGATGGGACGTCTCTTAATGACTTTTGGAGGTACGTACATTCCATGCTGTTTAAAGCTGGGAATGTATGATGTCTGTGGATAGATCTTAACCACGTCGGGTCGCTTATTCGATGGTAAGATTGCTTCTGCATCAGCCTTATTTTTGTGTAAGAGTTTGCAAAACTTCTTATTAAAAGCCTTTAGTACATCCGGATCATCAAATGCTGATGGTGGAATACCATACTGTGCTCCATCGGCGAACTCCGTAGCGTAATATGTCATATCCTCATGTTTGTACTCCCTAGAATCTTTTTAAACTTGTAAGACATAAGAGGTGTAGTAGCTTCACGTGTGCGACAAAGGATGATCTCTGTCGTAGGGATTAGATGTGACCCAATATTTAAGGCACTAGAGCCGTCAACGTTGTTAAATTCATACGTTCCGCTCTTCTTATCGGCCACAGAGATCATAAATGGTCCAATATATTTAGCCGTAAGCACAGTTGTATCGGAGTTGCGAGCCATAATGTTGACTATATCGCCTACCTCAATCTCGACTATTTTTTTGGTATCATTCCATCGTTTTTGTCTCTTCTTGAAAGCGATGTCCTTCATCTCCCTTAAACAAGGATAGACCACATCTATGGTCCGACGCATCTTCTCTAACCATGGTAACACATGATCATCTTGAGACTCCTTGTTGAAGGGTATCTGTAATTCACTATAACGGCCCCGGAAATAGGGAGCGGGTGTTGTACCAGTGACTGAATCAGGGGATTCGTTCATCTGTGTCTGTACCCAATTGATTGAGTACGGCCACATGTCAGCATCATCAAGTAGTGCTGCTCGCATGAACTCCTTCATTTTTCTGTGTCGTACCTCGTTTGCACCTTGTGTCTGAGGCTTGTAAGGTACACCCATCTTATGGCATGAACCCGCAACGAGTAACAATGTCGTCATGACATCTCCTGTAAACTCACTACCGTTGTCGGAACATACAATAGCTGGCCAGCCGAAATCTGCGAAGCACTTATATATGCACTCAGCCACAGTTTGTGTCGATTTGTCCTTCAGCGGATATAATACATTATATCTTGATGGGACATCAAACACGTGACAGACATATTTATCCTTCGTGTGTTCGGACGTGGGTAGCTCAACCAAATCAATGATAACCCGGCGCCACGGCTCGTCTTCTGATAAGCTGCGTAAAGCTGCGTATCCGTAGCGCTTGATCCGGTTAACTTCGCAGTTGTTACATTCGTGATACACCTGAGATATATATTGCTTGAGGTTCGGGTTTACGATTCCACACCTCGTACAATCTTTCTCAGTTCTAACCTTATCCATGTGCTTAAGAGCATGATTTTGTCTTGACCACTTCAGAATCGCCTCCTGTGATTTACTTGTTACATTGGAATCAGGAGGTGAGGATTCCACCGCGTCATCACCTGGACTCGAAGACTCGTCCTGCCCAATCTCGCCTAAAGCTTCTACATCGTGAATCCGACTAATGTTTGATCTGTCCAATAGGAAAGTCATTCATCAATTGCTTAAGCAATCGAGTTTCCCTGTCAGACCGCATTTTGTTGTAGAAGGCTTTCGCTAGTGATGCGCTCCTCTTTGATTCCTTTGAATTTGGCTGTATCTCGGTAACACGTACTGCAGGTGCTTGTGTTGTTCCAGCCTCCCGTTGAGACTTAGATGTCAAGAATGGAATCTTGATTTCTTCAACATCACGCTTGAAGGTCTCGAATTGTGTCCACTTGGTTGTTCCAACTGAACCTATTCAACATATAATAGTATGTCGCCAAGGCGTCTTTTGGACTGCACGGGTACCCTGGTAGAGAAAAGTATCTACCTTTCTATCCACATAGATCGGCTCACATTGTATCATTGAGATCAACTGTGGTAGCCATTTATCTGAGTGTCTAAGGGGACAATACAACGTGATGGCAGCATTTTGAATATGTGCATAATTTAGCAACTGTGGTATTAATAACCATGGAGGATTTGCCCAGGCATTCTCGTTAGACAAGTCAATCTGGAATCTATCTCCTTTCGGATGTTCCAGTGTCCGGTACCTTGGTAGTTGCGCATTGTGATGGGCAGCAAACATATCTATGGTATGTGGTCCATGTATGTTGTCTGCGATCTTAAACCACCGAGGATTGACCATCCAATCGTAACTAGCAACTCCCTAACCCTCTTATTAAAGTCTGGTACGAAGCGAGACAACATGTAGGGTAAGTGATTGTGAATACCCGGTATGTGTGTTATGCTGAAAGAAAATTTTGCGATCGTGTCATGCCATCGACTGACTAACTGTGAGTTAGGTTTCATGTCCTTTAGGTGTTGCAATGATTTCTGATCACATAGCACATTGAAGTGTGTGCCATATAGATAATCCTTAAAATGAGTGAGTGTAGTAACAATAGCCAAAAGCTCTTGTTGCACGGTTGGGTAATTGATCTGAGACGAATTCATAGCTCTACTAAAGAACTGTACATATCTCGGTTTCCCATCAATCTTTTGATACAGAACGCCGCCGAGTGCCATGTCGGATGCGTTTGTTGCTACCCTGAATGGAATACCATCCTTTGGTGGTTGGACTACTGGTGCCTGTTGAACCACTGTTTTGAGCTGCTTAAATGCGTCATCACATTCTTTGGTCCACAGCGCGCCTAGTTTGCCTTTATGACATCTCAAATGTCCAAAGGGCTTTAAGTAACTTGCCAGGTGTGGTACTCCGTCAGATAAAAATTTGACGATTCCGCACATGCTGTTGACATCCTTACCCGCGGTAGGAGTTCTCCAGTCTAGCAAGTGTCCGACCTTCCCGGGATCGATCATGATTCCATCCCCGGATACTCGGTAACCCAACAGTTGAATTTCGTTAAAACCGAAGTGACATTTCTTACTGTTGATCTTAGAGTTGTGCCTGTTGAGTCTGTCTAGAACCTCTCGCACAACTTTGTCGTGCTCCTCTTTGGTTTTGGTGAATATCACAATGTCATCAATGTATTCTTGTACATTGTCCATGTCCCTAAACAAGTCTTGCATAATTTGCTGAAAGAACGCAGGCAATATGTCTAACCCAAGGGGGGCACCTTTGAACGAATATTGCTGACCCTCCCAGGTAAAGGTGAAATACTTCCGATGTGGTCGGTAGATCTTCATCTGGTGGTAGCCCTGCGTCAGGTCGATAGTGGAGAATATCTTAGCTCCCTCCATGCGCCTGAGTAGTTCGTTTATCCTTGGTAAGTGAAAATTGTGTGTCGGTATCAAAGCGTTAATTGGGCTCATATCCAAACACACCCGAACTTTCTTCAGTGTCCCGTCAGAGTTGAATTGGTCGACGGCTAAAAGCGCTAGATTGACGGGAGTCGGCTCATAGTTGACTGCGATCACTCCGTCATCTAACCATGCTTTAACCTGTTCTCGTACGACCTGCTCATAACGCCATGCAACATAGTTACGTGTAAGACACTTCAGCTTCGAGAAATCTACTCTCGTCAGGTCTAGACTAACGTATCCGTTACTGAATTTGAACTTAGCCCAGTCCGTGATCCGAATCTTGTCATTCTCGAAAATCAAGTCCTTGAGTTTCTTTGTAAAGTGAGGGATTATCTCCTTCACAGTCTTCGAAGGTTTATATACCGGTTTCAACAAAGTTCAATGTTAGTAGGTAAGCCTGTAATTGTGATACCTAATGACAATAAATCACCCATACCTACTATGAGATCATAGTCTGGTGAAGTGATACATATGACTGCCTTAGTAACTGTAGTACGTTGGTCCGTCAATGTAAACCTAAGATCGATTGCCATTTCTCTGCAAGTGATCTCTCTTTCATCAGCCAATTTCAACATAGTTG